AATTACTTTTCTCCAAAAAAGCACATTTTTGTGCATATTTCAAACTACAGTGTCCATAAAAAAAAAAAATACTAGAAAATTTTTAAAATTCATACAATAAGCTTTCCGAAAATATATAGTTTTGTGGACAAGGGAGGTCATCTTGGTTTCCTAATTAACTACGTTAATTAAAATACATGTCAGGTAAACTGCATCTCTACCTTAAAAATCATTATTTCTATAGCTCAGTAGCAATTGATCTGATGAATTCTTTCACTGATCTAACAATGAGAGTATTTCTAGAATCTCTAGTTATTATTTTTTATCTTTAAACACCCTAAAAGAATGTTCTTGAATTGTTCTCTGCTGCAAAACTATATATACAGTGTATATGTATAATATAAAGTGAAAATAAAACATTGGATAGCTTTGAATTTTGTACAATTTATTAAAATATGTTTGTATTGATAAATTTCTGTTTGTTTTCTAGTCCTGGCACAAGTGTTAAACAATCCAAATTTCACTAACCCGAACCTGTTTCCAAATACGAGGCCAAATTGTGTCCGGTGTGCTGTGGTTGGGTGTGGTGGTGTATTGAATGGGTCTAATGCTGGAGAGGAAATTGATGGCCATGATTTTGTATTCAGGTAAGTTACCAGTGTATGAAGGATTTGTCTAACATAAATGCATTTATAATTATTTGTGAATATATAATCGTGCAATATTTTCTTCTGCATTAACATTAGTAGACACGAGTAATTGTTGCCAGACATTTGTATCTTGATTCTGTCTGTTTTGATATTTGATTCTGTCAGTAATCACACCACTCTGGCATACTCCCACCACACTGACGTAATTCTCAACACTATCATGTAATTCTGACTATAGTATGCAGCCTGATTAATGACTGATTTAAAATGGTTTTACAGTTTAACCTTTTGTGTCTTTATAGGCTAAATAGAGCTTTGACAAAAGGTAAATTTGGTAAAGATACAGGGGTTAGAACGTCATTTTATACTTTTTTCCCTGAATCTCAGTATACGAAGGAAGTTCAAGATCAAACGGTAAGTATAGTTGTGTACATTGTTTGACAACTGAAAAAACAAGCCTCATAAAATAATTTGTTGGTAAGAATTATATCTGGAAAGAAAGAAAGAAAGAATTAAACTAATAATGGTGATGTCTTGACAACCTAAAAAAGAAAGGAGTACACTTCTTGCCAGTCAATAACTGAAACTAATGTGCAGAAAACATGTGTTGTTCCATTTGGGAGGAAGAGATAGAAATTTATTAGTCCCCGTTCGGATGCAGACCTGTATCTTAGAAATGCCTGGACCAATTACAATCAAACTTCACACATACATCATACATGATATTTTACATATGCACATCAATTTGTTTCACGTTCTGATTCAAGATGGCCGAATGGCGGCCATTTTTGTGCTAAAAAATAATAAAAATCAAGCATTTCTCGGCTGTTTACAGATGGATTTTGTTCAAACTTGGTATATACATTAGACATTATGGGACCTTGATGCAAATAATTTTGTTTTTCAGATTAAAATTAAAATGGCCGACTGGCGGTCATTGTGTTTTAATGAATGTGGTTCTTGTGCCTTATGTCTGACTTGCTTTCACTGATTATGTTCAAATTTTAAATATTCATTATACATCATGTCATAGATAGACAGATATATTGTTTCGAGGATCTTATTCAAAATGGCCAAATGATGGCCATTTTTGTGCTAAAAAATCATCAAATATCAAGCGTTTCTGGCATTTATGGATGGATTTCGATCAAACTTGGTACATGTATTGGACATTACAGGTTTCTGATGCGCATCATTTATTTTTCAGATCGGATTCAAAATGGCTGTCTGGCGGCCATTTTGTTTTAATGATTGGGCTTCTAGAGCCATATCTCTTGAATGCTTTGACTGATTATATTCAAATTGTATATATTCGTTATACATCATGTTATATATATATATATATATATATGTATATATGTACATGTATTCAAAATGGCTGATTTTGAATGCTGTTCCAAAGCAATATTTTTCAATATGGACAAGTACTTGTTTGATGATCAGATACAAATGTCAATCATATTAATGTTAAAAAAATCATATTCCTGACATGGTTATATTCCAGCTGTATTACTATAAACAAAACTATATATCTTAAATTTGCTGCATGGCTTGTTTTGTATGGTATTCATCAAAATCACAATATTGTGCTTCTGTTCTCATAAAATGTACTGTTATTCAGAACCTAAAAAAAATTGTTTGTACGTGTTGGAAATTCTTATTTTCATCCCCTGTCAGACGAAGTCCAGAAACATCCACACCTGTATTTCAGACAGCTTGGATGGATCTGATTCAACTTCACACATCCATTTGCTGAAAAAATGATCAAGAATAAGCATTTCTGGAACCAGGCCTCTGCCGTTTACAAGAACATACTTGGTACATACATTGGACATTATGGGACCTTGATGCACGTCATTTTATTTTTCAGATCAGATTCAAAATTCATTATACATCATGCCATAAATATACAGATTTATTGGTTTGAAGATTCGATTCAAAATTTTGTTCTAGTTAATGCTATTCCATAGCAATATCTCTCAATATTGACTACCCGGTAGTACTTTTTTGACAATCAGATACAAGATGACTGAATGTCAATCATTTTAATGTTAAAAAATCATCATAATCAAGCTCCTGTTTATGTTTAACCTATATTACTATAAACAAAACTATATTACTATAAACAAAACTATATATCTTAAATTTAATAACTAATGGTAACTGTGTCATGCTGACTTGTGAAAATTTGATACATACAATTAGTCATTATGGGATCTAGATGCTAATCTTTTTTTCAGAATGGTCATCTATTTTGTTTAATAGGGGAGAGTAGGAAATCACTAAATTATAGCATACTTTTTCACATTTTGATACCTTTTGAGTGGTTGATGGTCGGGTCAGTACCATGAATGACTTACATTTCCTGTGTATCAGTTTTAATCATTGACTGCATGTTATATCAGTTAATATAGGCTTTGTTTAGGATTTCAAAAAAGATTAAATAAAATATCAGCACATATAAAAATGTCAGATGATTGACTAACAATAAAATGAGTGTTTCCATATGTATAACCCATTATTCCTTATATTATTTTTTTAGAATGCCAAATTTATTTACGTTAATTTCAAGAAGTATGACGTTGACTACGCCAACAACATGCTGCGTGGAGTTAAATCCCCACCTATGATTTCATATGCCCGCAATAAAACATGGTCAGTGTATTTGCATTAACCAGTGTGTTTTGTGCATATCACACTCTGGTAGCCAATGCATCATGCTTGTATATGTCACTGAAATTGTGTTGCCATGGTGCTGCAATAGTAGCATGTTGTCATGCAAGGCAATGTAATTTAATGATATAATGTAAAAAAAATGCTTTTGTTACTATCACTCAAAGAACAATTTAACATATTTGGTATAGAAATGAAATCCACAAACCCAAACTCATTGCAATAACTGACATAGTCATGACAGCATTCTGCTACTGCTATACCTGTGTGTTTGTGTTGTATTTTGTGCACCAATATGACTTCAAATTATTTTTCCCTAGGCCTCTCACTTCTATGTCTACTTCAAGTCTTATGACGTTGATTATAGTCTGAATCTTGTTAAAGGGGAAAATCCTCCCATCTACACCTACGATAAAGGAAAAAAACATTGGTCAGTACTTGATGTCATCCAAATTCTATGTCTATTTAAGCATACTTAGTTTGGCTGTTTTCAAATCCAGGGTGATCAGGTTATTGAAAGATTGGGTGGTTAGTGCCTGTGTACATTCCTCTGCTTGCTTTTCAGAAAAAAACATTCCAAACTATGTTTACCCTATCTAGAATGCATTTGTAGTCTTGTTACCATAGTTACGTTTCTTCTTTGGTGTGGTACATCCTATATGTTACTTATAAAGTCTCCCCCTGTTTTGATATTCACCGTACTTCCAGGTGTCGGTCGCTCAAGTAAGGAATTTATTTGGATTTGCTAATTAAAAAAACGTCACAATATTTTGATGACACTGCTCAATTTAATTTCCAAAACAATATTACAAATGTTTTTAATACAGGTGTATACATTATTCATGTCTTCATTCTATTGTACAAAGTGGACATTTTCTAGCAAATATCTAAACTGAATGTACCATCTCTTGGTCTCCTGTTAAACTGAAATAAGTACTGAAATTTTGAATTACATTTGAGGAGTTTCCCTTTATTTCATTTTTCTGTGTTTGAGTGCATGATGCATGGGTGTTTTCATGTAGTTTAGTCTTAACATGCATGTAGTTTATTTTTTCGCATATTAATTATTAATTGCTATCAAGTGTAGTGCTTTCTGGTTTCAAGTGAGTACTGTAAAACTGTTAATTTTCACTAGCATTACTATTTTCATGTTGAGCAATTTCACTTGTTTTTAAGTTATTTTACTTATCAGTAAAAAAAAAAAAAAAACTCTGTGAATAATTAATGTCTTTACAGTACCTTATATTTATCATATACATGTACTCTTTAAATAATTGGATATTTATACGATTAGAAAAAAAATGTATGGTCTTGGTAAAATGTAAATTCCAATTATTAATTATTGTAATTGATGTGTTGGATAAACTGTATGCACTACCAGTAATAGATTATTATCACACATATTGCCATCTGTTCATGCAATAACCTATAGTTTAAATTGTATATTCATGAAATATTAGTCTGAAAGCACAAGACAAAATAAAAACCCAAAGATGTACAATATCTGCTCTGATCCCTTGCTACAGTGTTTATAGTTTTTATCCGTGCATTTAATAATAATGTAAGTTTCTAAATTAGAAACATGTATGTCATGTAAAAAATGTTGACACAATGTTTGATAATGTATTGTGTTATGAAATTATCCATTATTAAGAAAAGATGCTACTGAGAAAAAAAACAACCCTTGAATTTTTTAATAATTTATCTTGTTCTGTAAAAAAAATAATCATTCCAGTATCTTCCAAAACTTGACCAGAATTATTAGGACAGAACAGTCTTGACCAGAGCTCAGCCAGAGTTATTCGGAGAACCA